AAATGGACACGGTTGGCATTTAAGATGACGTTACGTATTTTCGATTCCCGTGTTTGACACAGACCAATGTAATGCTATCTCTTTTGGCTTAAGACGGCACGCAATGGTTAAACAAAGACAATAACATGTTTATGTTTTCGACGTCGAAATGCATCATATACATATAACGTCTGATTTATATATGTCAACATAACACGTCCTTTAGTTTCCATAGTCTAAGGGCTACACGGTTCATGGCCAGGGGTTGACTGGCCAGCGGCAAATGACAGCATATCGCAACACGTGGTAAATAGTGACATTCAAGCCACAGAGATCACAAAGTGCCAAACATCTAACCGTAAGATGGATTTAAACTATTTAAATCCCCTTTCCAACAATAAAAAGAATCATCGAAATCTGTTCACAAGTGTCGGAATAAACGCGTAACACACACAAAAAATTGTGTAAAAACGTGTGTGCGGGTGTGTAGAAACGTTTTTATAGAAAATATGTAATTTTGGTAAGTTATTATTTCGTTCGGAAGTTTTTTTTATAATATTAAGTGACGGGACGAACAAGTCGTGCGCCTGATGGTAAGCTACACGCCTGTCCATAACAGTTGCAGTGCCACTCAGAGCTTTAAATCGCTAAGATTTGAGGGGCACTGCCACTGCACCCGTCAACCTGAGTCATAAGTTAACAAGTCCCATGTGCCTGCAATTTCACCAGCACCCTTACCCTTGAAAACCGGAACGCAGTAAAGCTGACATTATTCCTTGGCGGCAGAAATACGTAAGGTGGCAGTACTTCCCTGGACGAACTCTTTCATAAGGAATCTACTCATCAACTCATCTACTGCTACTAATAAAACATTAATCAGTTAACAAAACATCATCAGCTTATCGCAGTCCTCTGCTGGATATAGGTCCTCTGCTTGTCGCATCCATCTGCTGCCAGAAGTATTTCGCAGATCGTCACTCCATCTGACCAGAGGGCGTCCTACATACACTACGTTTGCCGAACCTTGGTCTCCACTCAAGAACTCGCTTTCACCATCGGTTATCGGTTCTTCGATAGATATGGCCAGCCTACTGCCACTTCAGCTTGCTTATTCTACAAGCTATGTCGACGACCTTGGTCGAATTAATAAAAAGTACAAAATATTTAGTATATTGAAAAAACATAGAAAAATAAGTTACTTTACACCACATCTCATGTAATAATATGCCACAAAAAATGAAGTGGGACCTTGTGCAGGTCCCACTTCATGACACTTAAAACGCTCCAGTAACTTTTATAGCTTACAAAATAAAGTCGAAACAAAACGTGATTGTGGCCGCATTGCGTGACGGCAACGGAATCCTATCATGGGCTTAGGCGGTCTTGTCGGGTTTTCATTTCACATACATAAAATACATACAAAAAAATACATAAAATTAATACCAAACGTATCAAAGCAGTCCCCACAGTCAAATCCACTTTATAGCCAGTTGTTAATGGAATACATTCGCGCAATGTCAACATTTTATATGGAGTCTCTTAGGTAAACGGAACAGGAATAGAATTTCAAGAAACACCAATTTTGTGAAATGTAAACAGTAATTGATTGAAAACGGAATTAGCTAAACTCTGATAAATACAATCTAGACATACAATCTACATATATATACGGAAGCAAACGTTAAACGTGCTATATGACCGTTTTGGCAATATACCAATATCTAATCATCGTTGAAGGTTTGAAAGGTACAAATTAGGCAAATTAGTAAGCAATAAAAGTTATTAATAACACGATCACGAATGAATTTCGCGAGTTCAAGATCGTGGACAACTGCTTATACCTATTCGACAGTAAGGCGAATTATGACTAAAAAAACGGAATGTTCCTAGGATTCTGTAATAGTTGAGGTAATGGTTTTATTGTTGATATTCTAGTAGCAGGAGATGTGAAAGAGTTCGTCCAGGAAAGTACTGCCACCTTTCCTATTTCTGTCGCCAAGCATTACTGCGTTCCCGTTTTGAAGGACAAGTAAGGGTGCTGGTGAAATTACAGGCACATGGGACTTGTCAACTTATGTCTCAGGGTGACAGGCGCAGTGGCAGTGTCTCTCAGATCTTGAAGACTTAAAGTTCCGAGTGGCACTGCAACTATTATGGACAAGCGTGCAGCTTACCATCAGGCGCACGAATTGTTAGTATAAACAAACAATCGATTGTAGAAGGCAATTGTCGTCCAATAAAGTTGCCTGATTATCAGTAGGTATTCTATAAGATATATGTAATGGATATACCAAGATTAGCAAAAATCGTTCGCTTCCACATTTATACGGTATACGTACATTGGAGTGGAATTCCCGACAGATTGTTCTCTTAAGGCTATAACTTAGGCCTTTTCAAGGCGAGAGTAAATAGTAATTATAGGTGTGCACCATTGACTTACAATTATAGTGTGCACACTCCACGTCGTCGACCTCATTGTCACTTTATATTGTAAAAGGCATGCCTTTATAAATTCTGCAATATGGTGAGGATTCTAATCTAAAGTATTAGCTTTACTTTTCATTACATGAAACCTACTTTGTTTTATTGAAAATTTTGTAGTCATAAAATACGCCCGCAGTCGAGGAATATACAATATAGTCGATAGTGAAGTCGTTACATCTATCGACGCAGTCGCTTTTAACTTTCGGCAATAATTGTATGTATATGGGAGTTGAAGATAAGATCTGTGTATTGTATTCAATGAAAAAGAAGCCTAGTTAAATTTAAAATATGTAATCAGTGCTAAAACGACAGTCGTCAGACGATAAATAAAACGTCACGACATATAATCGCAGCTTCAAACGATTCTGTCGTTTAAACGACAAGGCGGCTGCCGTGAACCGACGAATTGTCGTCACGATCAAATCTAGTAGGAACAGGTAGACATGACTGTTGTTCAACGGTAAAATAAATGTCCACGATACAGTCACGACAGATACTCGTGATATGGGAACAGGCTAGACGCGATAGTCGTCCAACGATAAATAAAACTTTAAGACGTAATGGGATCGCGCCCTAACACAAACATTTATATAAACTACTTTATTATGACTTATGTAACCTTTCTTTGTCCCCTTGCAGCAGGCCTGGGCATGCGGCATTGGGTGACGTTCATGCTGTTCCTGGGCATGGCGAACGCGTACATCATGAGAACCAATATGTCAGTTGCCATCGTCGCCATGGTGAACCACACTGCTCTGCCTATCGTCACCGAAGCGGTTGATACCGAGTGCGGTCCTGTTAGTAATACGTCTAATGTAAGTTTACTGTACAGTTACTAGTTACTATTAATCGGAATTTAAATTGTCTATAAGTCCATTTACATTGCATTAATTTATGTGATTAATGATTAGTTGTTTCACTTTCTTACTGGATTTCATGTGATATTATAGCCATGTGGTTGGTTGAAATTGAATGTTTCAAAGGATTCAGATAAGGAAAGGAAGGTCAAAAGGATTTTTACTATCAATTTGTACCAGACTTCCAAACGCATCTGCTCGTTTAACTCTACTTCTTTGAAAAACTAGTAACTTCTTACTTAAAATGCAAGGGAAATACCCAGTAGTTTTAAATTTGAATATATGTATGTGTATACTGGAGTATAGTTCATTGATTTTAAGACTTGGTCCTGTGAAGGTGGAAGCCTATAATCAGTGGTTTATGACTATTTAATGATAATTATTAGTGTTATTTTATTATTATTATTATTATTTGGAAGTATTGGACAAGTAAAATTAATAATAATAGTGTAATTCGTATGCCTTGACGGTACGTCATGACGACCATAAAATAAATGTTATCATCTTTATTGTACCCATGATGACGAATAAAATGATTTGATTGATTGATTGATACATAAGTATAAATAATATTTTCATAATAATAACACGGGATTTTGAAACTGATTTGTCCCTTGGTACTTAGATTACGCCTATTTTAGCCGAGATCCTTTAAATTGAAGTTTGTAAGAGAATTACACTTTCTGCATTGAAATTTAGAGTATAGATTGTCATAATTTTGTTTTCTATTTCAGGAGGATATAGGTCAAGACGGCTCGTTCGTCTGGACTTCCACACTTCAAGGATACATCCTTTCATCTTTCTTCTACGGATATGTTATAACGCAAATACCATTTGGAATCCTTTCTAAAAAGTAAGTATTTAAAATCAACTCGCTGAAAAAAAGGAGGTGAACTGTATGTTCATAAGAACAATTTATCTTTCTGTAAAATGTTTCGGTACTTAGGAAACTTCTTTCGTGCGCTTCAAATAACAATAATTTTATTTATATTTTTTGTGTGTACCTACCTCAGTTATATTATTAAAACCTGCCTAAGGCAAGTTGGTGATTATTGTTTTGTCTTGTGGAACAACAAAACAAGTGTAAGTGTAACAAAAAGGTGCAATTACACTTTACGATCTCATCGTATTCATGAAAGTCGTAGAATAAAATAACATTATTCTACGACTTTGGATCCAAGTAAGCCGTCGATAAATATTTGTATAAATTTTAGAACAATATTTTTTTTGTGTTCTGAGTGTAATAACACCCTAGACTATGTTAAGCATTTTCCATTCTTCCAGTCGGGTGAGATTATGGTGACATAACCGACAAAAACGAATTATGATCATCTTTCCTCAGGTTTGGAGCCCGATGGTTCCTAGGTGTGGGAATGTTGGTAAACTCAGTTTTCGGTTTGCTCGTACCGATTGCAGCTAAAGCTGGTTACCAGTGGCTAATTGTAGTTCGATTCATCCAAGGCTTAGGAGAGGTAAGTTCCTGTCTTAACAATATCTATTAATATTTTTTTCTTTTTACTGTAATCGGTTTATAATATGTAATAATAGCATTTGTTGGCACACATGTCAAAATGTATAGATCTGTTTTATGAAAACTTGCAACTATTTTGTGTTCATTGATTTGAATTGTGATTTTTTTAATTTTCTAGGGTCCTATTGTACCCTGCTCACACGCTATGTTGGCTAAATGGATCCCTCCCAATGAAAGAAGTAGAATGGGTGCAGCTGTATATGCAGGTATACAATATACGAGTTACAGTTTTAATAAGTCGTCACTATAATCGATGGTATAATTTAATAAACGGTATCTCGTTTCCCTTCACTGATGAACCTGAAAATGTAGGTACTTGCGATAACAAGTGATCAGATGGCGAAATCCAGTATCATGTTCTAGTCCCAATGATATAGCTGTTATTAGAAGATCCAATCTTGTTCTGGTCCCGAAGATTAAACTTTCCAAAGAACGGAGTTTTCAGGTCTCGGGAAACATAACCTTCACAACTTGGAGAAACACAACCTCTATAGTCTATATGTTATATAAGATTTGCAAGTATACGATAGAAGTATTAATATCAAAATATTTTTTTCAGGAGCTCAATTTGGTACAGTAATTTCCATGCCTCTCTCTGGTCTCCTCTCTGCTTACGGATTCGCGGGAGGCTGGCCGTCCATCTTCTACGTTTTCGGGCTGGTTGGAACCGTTTGGTGCCTGGCTTTCTTGTGCTTTGTGTCAGAGGACCCAGAGCACTGTCCGAGTATCAAGGAGAATGAGAAGAAATACATCTTGAGCGCTCTATGGGGCACTGCTGGATCAAGTGTAAATAGTTTCACTTTGAAATTGTGATTATTTGAAATTGAACTTTGGCAGTCGGAGACATTATTATATCAAATTATTTTAACATGTATCGAAATGCTTGCTTATTCAAAATTCTACCCCAGTTTTTTTAATAATAAAGGGTATAACCATTTTTTTTTTCACAGTCGCCACCGATTCCTTGGTCCAAAATCCTTCGGTCGATGCCATTCTGGGCGATCATGTTAGCGCATGTAGGACAGAACTACGGTTACGAGACCTTAATGACTGAACTCCCTACTTTCATGAGACAAGTCTTGCATTTCTCCATTAAAGACGTAAGTATCTTAACTTTTTGTATGTATGTATATAAGTGGGTACACTACAATTTAAATTTTATGTAACACTGAGGGATTTTTATGTTGGTATCACGGAAGAAAAAAAACAATGGAATTGCCTTAAGCCTTGATTAATATCAGAACCGATGTCGTCGTCAAAACTCATACATTCTTAATTTCAAATACTACGAAATCATGATAATAATTGGTCGTAGCTTCAGATTTAAAAAGAAGTAACAAATTGTGGATTGTTAATATAATTTAAACTTTACCCTGTTTGCATACCGTTGAAAGTTCAATATCGCGAAATCCTAAGAACTCGATAAGTTCAATGCCATCAGTACCTATTAGTTATAGCAAGTTACGACGTTTTGATATCATAATTAAATTTCAATCAATGTGCTGCCATCTAGCGGTTAATTGCTAAACGACGACGAATTGGAGTAATTGATTTAGTTCTCCAAAAAAGAAGCGACCATATTGCAGAGGTATAAGCTTTACTTTCGTTTCTTATAACAAAATAATGATTTCGATAAACAGAAAATTGATCAAAATAAGACTTGCCGATGATATGAAGTAACACTACGAATAACATTTTTTGCACAATAAGGCATTTTTCTACGATTTTAGAGAATTTACGCGAAAGAATTGACACAACCATAACGTACAAACGTTTGTATTTGTTTCCTTTTTTGGTGTACAACAAAGAATTTTTGTATTGTATTGTATTGTATTGTACAAAGCCAAAATGGCGGACTGAGCTCAAGTAGGTCTAACGAGACCCACTGTTGGCACGCGTGAGACGTTAACTAACCACTTTTACCGTACCTATTTATTGTTCTGTGGTTGGTATGATTCTAAACAAACCCACAATAAAAAATAACAAGTCCGCATTACTAAATCAACTCCAGTAACTATGAGACACTTAGCAAAATCACCGGAAGATTGCCACTTCAACTCCCTAGGATATAATTTAAAACCGGCAACCTTAATAAGTGCTGTCTCGTTTAGCAATTAATTCATTCAGACTGTTATTGACCGGCCCTGACCCGTTCACAAATACTGACAGTCGATATTCGATACTCGCTACAAATGATCAAAATTAGACACTGTAAAGAAGGCTACTTGGCACTTGAGTCTATTTATAAAACACACGTGCCCTTCCATGGTGATAGGTCAGGATTAGGCCGAACACGTGTTTGGCATAGGTAATAATTGGCCTGCTATTTAGATGAATTACTGGAACAGCTTGGATAATTTTAGACGTGTAGGCGGTGGTGCTTGACATTGGATAAAATAAACCATGGTTATTCACTACTGTTAAAAACCACTACGATACAATATATCCAAATATTATTATTTTATCAGAGTCACAACCATTATCTTCTCAGTTCCTACAATTACTGAACAAATTCATATACAGTAACAGACAAGCTTTAACTTCCGGGTTTCATTACACGCTGAATAGGTTATGTAAGGTAAATGTGGTGTAAATTTTGGTTGTACGCCTTTGCTATTTTAATTATCACCAAATCACTTTACAAAATAATCCATAAGACGAGAATGAAGACGACGAGCCGTAATTCGAGATTCCTTTTCTACAGAATGGCTTCTTCTCAGCTCTGCCATACCTGTGCATGTGGCTGTTCTCAATGTTTATATCAGTGGTTGCCGACTGGATGTTGTCCAGTGGCCACTTTAATCACACACAAGTCCGTAAGATCATCAACAGTATTGGTAAGTTGTTCAGGCATATGGGTGTTCGGAGTGCTAGACCGCAATGCATAGGAGAGGCTTTTGCCATGAGTTGAGACACTAAATTAGGTTTTTTTAATAAAAATGTTGATTAACTATATTAGGATTTGTGACAGTCAGAAATATATATCTAATAGTATATTTAACCAAAAATTGTTTATTTGTATAGGTGAATACGGTCCTGCAATTGGCCTCTTCGTAGCAGCCAACACGGGCTGCAACCCAGCGGCTACAGTCGCAATCCTTGCCATTGGTGTCGGTCTTAACGGCGGTATCTATTCTGGTTTTAAGGTATATACAAATAACACCATTCCATTCCATTCTATTTTTTACATTTTTTTAGTAAACTGATATCTCAATTCTAGTTTAGTTTGTATTAATATATTATGCTTTCAATTCTAGTTCACGAACAAACTTCATTAATAGAATACAATAGAATAGAATTATTTTATTTCAGGCAGAAATTACCCATATAATTTGTAGTAACAATTTTCACTTAGAATAGGTTAGTATACAGAACACAACGACATAACATAACATAATATTTATTTTATTATATTATAAAAACAGATTTGATTTGCTCAACCCAGTATTTTAGAATTGGACAATTAAATCTGCCTGCAACCATTTTTAGGAAGCTGTTGTGGCCACTTCTGACACGTGTCATAAGCGATATTATTTTCTTCTGCATTATCGCTTGGAAGCCATCTATTTGCGCTTCGGCGAACATGCAACATGCAGCATCCTGAAAGCATTATTATATCGAACGCGTAGGGCGTTGTAAGCTCGTTTCATATACTTAACCCGCAGGCCGCTCGAGTTAAATAATTGGCTGTAAGCTTAGAATAAAGTAATTTTAACATCGATAGAGCATCTCGCGAGCCTGCTGCTGGCCCAACATATTCATAACATAACATATATTAATATCATATTGCATCGCACTGACAACGCCCTACGCTCCCTTTCTATATCTTGGTCGTCACTTAAATCATCAGTAGTTGTGACCTGCAACTTTTAGTACAACCCCGCCACGAAAACTGGAGGTATGAAGTAAGGCTTAATTTTGCCTGCCTTAAAAACCTGGTAAACCATGTGCTTTACAGTACACTTCACACTAGCTCCCTAAGTGCTCAAATAGACGGACTCAGCAGCACCATGTCGTCAGCATAGTTAATCACCATGTCGTCAGCATAGTAATCGATCGTGTTTAAGCGGCTGTTGCATATATCATGATAAGCATCTATTTGTTCACTTAAACGTTCACCCCACAGCACCCTGTTTTCTACAGTCGATCCATGTGATACTTTAGATACCGGTTTCAACATGTCCATGTTACATTCAACGACCATAGGAAAATGCTCAGACTAGAAAACGTCGTACATGACTGCTACAGTACGGATTGTATCCCAAGCACTCTCAGTCTCCAGACAATGGTCTAACCACCTCCTACGCCCATGAACATCACTTTAACCCATTCGTTTTCCTTTTCATAGGTTAATCACTTGGACCTGTCACCACGGTTCGCTGGTATCTTAATGGCGTTTACCAATTGTCTGGCAAACTTAACTGGTCTGCTCGCTCCAATTGTCGCCGGATATATCATTGAGGGCAAGGTAATCTAATCTTTAAAGGTTATGAGGTTTTCGGGTACCTTCTGAGACGCCAACAGAAAATAGGAAATCTTTTAAGCATAAATCTGATTCATTAATTCTTTTAAGCAAATCAAAAGATCTAAATCGTAACCTAAACCTTTTTTTTCCAAAACCTTCTTAAGATCATTGACTTAATTTTTTTTTTTCATATTTCAGCCAACACAAGCCCAATGGAGGATAGTATTCTACGTAGCAGGAGGTGTCTACATCTTCTGCGCTACTTTCTATAACATCTTCGGGTCCGGAAGAAGACAGGATTGGGATAACCCAGCCCTTGATGAGGCGAATGCTAAGAAAGCAGCAGCCAAGAAGGCCGCGAGAAAAGAGAGGATTACTCCCAGGAATTTAAACGAAGCGGAAACAGCGCAATAACGAGCTCATAACTATTGAACGTGGCGTAAATACAACTAAAAATAATTATAATAATGGCTGATTAAAAATGTAGCTAGTTTGTAAAAAAAGGCACAACGGATATAATCCTTTGCCATTTTAAAACAAGAATCGTAATTTTGAAGTAATACCGTCCGTTGTATTTGCAAAGCGTTCGGACCCGACATAAATTTTAATTTTTTTGAGAGATTGTCGTTAATGATTTTGCAAATTACGTATTTTAAATCAAATTGACGTTAATTTTAGTTGTTATTTTTCAGCATAACGTAATTCAATTATAGCTCTCGAACAATAATTGCTAGCTTTCTATCGTTTTGCATGCAATTATCATTTTGTTCTCAATTTCAAAGTATGTGACGCAACTTACAGGCTGTGATAATATCTTGTGTACAAAACACGAAACGAATTCTGTGTCGGGTCTTTTTAGCTCGTTAGAAGTATTATTTATTTATTATTTTAGATAAAAACCATACAAGTATTGTTATTATAATTTGTATAGCTTGTAAAGTAATAGGGACGTATGAGTGGTGAAGATTTGGATCCGAAGATTTTGAACCGAAATGTTACCGTCGTAGCCAGTGGATTTAACAATATCTCGCAAAACATTTTGTCATTTTTAAAATAGTGCCATTAAATAAAAATATTAATACTTTTTTTAACTTAATTTCTTTGCAGATGCTCGAATATATATAATCGATTTTTAATAATTCAATTCGAATTTCGCTATTTTATTTAGCTCTTGTCATAGACTAAGAGACCCATAAAAGTTAAAACTTAATAACATCCTTATCGCATTAAAAAAAAACAAAAAACTTGCAATTCGCTTCGCTTAACATGCCCAAAATTATAGTTTCAACGGTACATATTTCTTACTATTGTTTGTTACTCCGTAGCGTTACTTTAGCTCCTGCCCAACAGAAATTCAGTCGCGTAAATTCGACGCTTTTCAAGTTCTCCCAATCAGAGATTACTATAGACCAACACTACGAACTGAACAGTTGACAACGCCGAAACTGCGCGGGCTAAAATTTCGACAGGTGTGCCGATGGCTAAATTCCTTTTAATTCCATAATACAGATAAGTTGGTTGCAGGTATTCTATTCAAATAAAGAAGTTTCATTAGTCTATGTTCTAAAATTAGTGCCAAACGGAATATTGTGTTGTGATTTTTGTTTTTTATTTAACCATCTATTGTTCACTAGAAGCGAATGTTGTTGCATTAGTTAAGCTTATAGTTAAGATTACATATTTATGTGGTATAGTTGTATATTGTGACGTCATCAGATGCAGAATGCTATATACTATATAGATAACGCTTTAAAATCGACGCTTGCAAATCGGAGTACAAAATATCCTTTGAAATGTATGTGTTAAACACATCTACAGGAACGCTGCCAGAATCATAAATTGTTTTTCTAGTGATGGAGAAATACAAATACTTTTCTTACATTTCTGTAGTTTTATTTTCAAATACAATAACAAAAATTGATTCTTCATAATCATAACAGTAATAATATTACTTATAACTAGAAATAAGTTTTCTTGCCTTTCTTGATACTTTTATCTAATAATTTCACTGTTATATCTTGCAAGGTAAAAGCTCCTGTACCGCTTCTGCATGGTTGTCCCAACATTAGACAACTAGAAGCTGATTTAATATTATCCATTTTCGAATTCAATATAGCGTCCTTTAAGAAGATCAACGATGATTCGAAAGACATCTGCTGAAGCGGTGATGTCGATGCTTCCATCCCTTTTCTACTCATAGGCTCAAATATACCATTATACGTCATGTAATCAGCTACCAAAGTCAAATGCCTGGGATCGACAGTGATGCCATAAACATTGAACACATTCTGTATTTCTGTAATGATAACTTTATTTGCCGCTTCAATTCCATAAGTATTGGCTATGGCATGAATGTCGTTACTGTATATTTTGTTCAGGTCTAGCAAATCGTTGTATTTGAACATTTGCACTATGTTGATACCCTCAGTTTTGAGATAAAGAACATCTTTCTCTTTGTTTGTTATAGCTCGTTTTATGTTCTTGACTTCATGTATGACAGATTTCGCAGCAGCATCTCGTAAAGCTTGAGAAAGATCTACTCTTAGGAAAGCTATCGGGAAACGCACTGTTAACTCGCACCACCTGTGTTTCTTGGTATCAAAATTGTAATTTGTGGCACTTTCAATGCTATCAACAACACTGGACATGATTCGACTCTCCTCCAGCGCAACTTCTTCTTTGGGTACTTCTACAACGTCATCGGTGTCTTTCTGTTCATCCATTAGTTCTGCTTCATCATCAGATTTCTCTTCTTCCTCCGACTCAGGATCTTCATATTCTTGCTCTTCGGCTCTTTTCTTGCGTAGCTTTACCTGGAAAATGAAAGTAGCAGTTTTATTTAAAGTTTAGCGTTAGTCGTAAACAAATGGCACAAATGAAAATTAAACTTACATCAGTATTATCGTCGTCGTCGTTTGGGCCTTCCTCGTCTGAGCTGTCCAAATTTTTTGCTGCCTGTTCATTAGTATCAGGAGATTCCTCTTCGTCCTCATCATCATTGGCCACTCGGCGCCTTTTTTCTTTCTCCGCCGACCACAACACCCCACACGTTGCCTTAGCGTGTTTTCGAATTGTCGAAAACATCTCGTTGAAAAATTTGTTCTGCATGTGTTTTATAATCTGCGCCGGCTTTACCGCATATTGTGTCTTATATTGAGAGTGCGGCAAAAATGAAAAATTCATTGTCGTTTTCAGTTGTCTTTCAGGATTAGTCACTATTTCACACTCCACTTCAATTTTTTCTAAAACATCACTTACAGTAACTCTATTTAGTTTACGTCTTAGTTTCTCTGACTTCTTGGTCAAATTAGACAGGTCCTTAAGGAACGGAATATCCATATTAGGTGTTTTTAGTTTCGCAGATGCTGTCATCAGAATTTCTCGAAGACGTGGAATACCGAGCGTGACATTCATGTCACCACGACCAGCAAAGTGGAAGGTGTTCAGTGTCATCTGAGTAGACGGCTCACCAATAGATTGAGCGGCTAGTAGCCCAACGGGTTCACCAGGAGCTGCCATTGATTCTAAATATTTAGCATTCATTATGTCCAAAAATTTCTCTTTCTCTGTGTATTCTGAATACAGTGTTTCCTGACGTATCTTCAAATAACTCTGTATAATTTTATCCAATTGCTCATTTATTACTCCAAACTTGTACTCTGGTGACATCTTGGAAGGAATTGGATCAGGACATGTCTTTATGGAATATTCTTGCCTTTCCTCTTCACTCATATTTCTCCATTTCTTTTCTAACTCCCAATAAAAGGGATCTCTTGTCAGATCAGTAGGATCATTGTCAACAATGATTTCTCTTTTTCCTAACACAGAAAACTGTGTAAACGAACTCGTTCGCCTTTTCTCAGTTGGATCACCAAATTTCTTTTTCCATTTTTTCAAAGACTTTTGCGCTTTAGTTACTTGTTTAGAGTCAGTTTCATCTTTTAGTTTCTTGATCACTGATTTGGGGACAACAGCCTTAGAGTTAATATCAAGAAACTCCAACTGGCTCTTCTTTAGGAACTGGCATTTTAGAACGTCGAGTCCATCTTCTCCGTAAGCAAATTGGATAACACTGTTGTCAGCATCTCTTACGGTGTGATCGTAAGCAACAGATAAACCTTCTAAATGCTTTATCAGACATCTCTGTAAGTAACCAGATCGACTGGTCTTGACAGCTGTGTCGATAAGACCTTCACGACCAGCCATACAATGGAAAAAGAATTCCTGAGGTTGAATTCCTGTCATGAAACGTCCATCAATGAATCCACCAGCTCTAGGTGAAGTATCGTAAGGAGGAAAGCTTGGCAGAGATCTCCCAGATATCATCAATGGAGGTCTCTTGCCTTCCAACTCAATTTGTCCAAGCAGACATGAAATCTGCATAGTGTTAACAGTGGAACCTTTTGCACCAGATTGCACCATTAATTGCAAATTATTGTAAGGGAATTTCTCTATCAAACCGTCTCCCAAACAGCATTGGTTTATATTGTTTGTGTGTGAATCAAGCACGTTTTTATATTGTCTGTCCAAATTAGTTCGGAATTTCGGATCTTTTATGAGCATTTCTCCTATAGTATCCTTCAGTTTATTTTCGTCAACATCCATAGGGAGCTCAGTAGCCTTTGCAGCAGCAAGCCTTCCAGCTTGTCTCGCTAAATGGACATAGTTGTCACGTTGTTTATCAGCGTCTTGAACAACCAGGATGTCTTTGACACCGAGAGTGAAGCCAATCCACTGTAAGTAAAATGTGAATACCTTTGAAAATGAACTAAGTACAGCACTCGAACTGTCACCACCATATAATTCGTACATGCAGTGTACTAAGCCATAAGGAGTGGCACCATAATGGGTCTTATCCAGAACACCAGACAACAACTCTCCTTTTCGAATTACAACTTCACCTTCTGACATAGTATTAGCGTCAATAAAAGGTGTCCCTCCAGCTAACCATTGTCTTGGTTGTTCCTTTTGCCATGCTTTTGTACTGATCTTTGCTTTTCCAGTCAATGATAAGTACGGTTTTCCTTTAGGAATGCTATTCATGATTATTGTTGAAAGTATTTGTTTTCCAGACCATAACATCATTGGTTTAAGTATTGTGGGCGGAAGCAGCTTTATTTCTCCTTTATGATTTGACAAAGCTTGAAACACTAGTTGTTGATAATCAGACTTCGTAAAAAATGAACCTCTCAATGACATTTTCACTCCAGAAATTACATGATCTTGAATCAATCCACTTAATGGTGTGCCATCTTTTGGCACTAAGAATTGTTTTCGAACTGACATAATGTTATAGGCTTCGCTCCTAGCAATTTCATTTTGTGGAAAGTGAGCATTCATTTCGTCACCATCAAAATCAGCATTATAGGATTTACAATTGGCGTAATGTAAACGCAGGGTTTTTTCTCCTTTTAGAATCCTTGCCCTGTGTGCCATCATACTGGGTTTATGAAGAGAAGGCTGTCGATTCAGAATTAGAACATCACCATTTACTAAATGTCGATGGACAATCTTTAAACCAGAAGTTTTGTACTCATCAGGAGTCAGCAGCCTTTTAGCAAGACTTTTTCGTTTTTGTATTGAATCAGGTGGAATTCTGATTACTCTTCCATTTTCTATTTCAAGTTTTTCAGCACCTGGATGCTTGTTGGGCCCATTAATAACCATTTTTCGTAGTTCATCAACATTCCACTCTGTGACTGGGACTGGATAAGTTAGTTTTGTAGCAAAAGCATCTGGTATACCAATTTCATCTATGTCCACATTTGGATCAGGTGTGATTACAGATCGGGCTGCAAAGTTTACTCTTTTGCCCATCATGTGCATTCGGATGACACCAGTTTTCTTCTCGAGAATTTGTTTTAGTCCTTGGCTAGCTAAACCTTGGCCTTCACAGCTCAGGAGATAATTGATATGTTTCTGTAGGTCTTGCCAAACAGTATGCAGCTTTTCTGGGGGGGTTTGACCCTGAATACTTTCATATGCTTGTCTTGGCTGTTGCTCAAGAGTATCAATAGCCTTTAGCTGATCAGTAGCAGATACAACTTGCAAGATAGCTCTAGCACTGTAGGCATGATGCAATATGCCTTTATATACATTTGTCTGTGGATGCTCCATCAGTTCACCTTGTAAATAATTGCAAGGTCTAACTACTGGCGGTACTACTGGCACTAATTCCATGAAGAAAAGGTTTGTCACTGGTTTAATATTAGAATGTTTGAGAACTGGTAAACAGTGTATCAAAATGTCTTCATCATTTTCACATATTGAAGTGCAATAGCGCTTGATTTCATCAGGCATCAAAATTTTAACACTTTTACCTTTTCCTTCTGTTTGGCCATCAGCAGTCACATTGTACATCAATTTACCTTCAGATGTCGTTATTTTAATTAATTTACTTGTACAATACATACAATTTTTAGCAATATTTATGGCTTTAAAATAATTATTCAAAGTTTTTGTTCGCAATTTATCTGTATTTTTATTGTGAAAAGTAGCCGTGACTGGATCACTTTTTTTTAATAGTTTTTGGAACTTCCTGATTGCTTTGCTAGATTTGTTTGGTGAGCTATCTGTATCGTTTTTGTAATCTTTGATGTCACCTATGAAACCATCCAAGTCAAGAGCTGCAGTCACATGACCACTATCAATAAGTTGAAGTTGCAACTTCAACATGAATTTCATTTTATCATCCATTTGTATTTTGCAACATTTAAGGCAACTGATACGGAATAGTGTATAAATTGTCTTCATGAAAAGTGGGTTCACTACGACGAGAGGTAGTTCTATGTGACCAAAATGTCCAGGACAGTGCAACATTGTATTGTGACAGGTGGCGCAAGCATCGAACCTGTCTCGGGCGGGGCCCATCGCGGAGTCATACAAACCTCCTTTTGTAGGGTTTCCCATCGCGTCGAAAGACGTCATATTAGTAATTTTCGCAACGCTAAGTTTCTTGATATCTTCATCACTGAACATCAGGAACTGTACCGAGTCAGGGTCAGCCGACGTCAGCCCTGTCAGGGCTGACGTTACAAACGACTTCGAACCCATGGTGATATCTGCAATAACGAAAAATATAGTCTAAATAAATTGTTAACATAACCTAAACAACGTATAGTTCTGATTTTTATTTTTGTAAGATACCAGGGTTTCTACGTTTGTTTTTGTGAAAAGCATTACACACGCTTACCTGTTAAGACAATTAATTCATAATGAAAAAAATTGCAGGTTTTGTAAAAATAACACTTTTAGAACCTATATTTTACACACCGCACTCATAGCAAGTTTCATTTGCCAACAGCAACTGTCAACAAAACAAATAAACCACATGGCATTAGAGTTGCTCTAAAGCCGGGTTTTCACTATACGAGTACGCAAAGATCGAGTCCACTCGGATGACTCGCTACTAGTTTCGTGATCGGAGCGCACTGTGGCGTCCAAGTAGTCATCCGAGTAATCTCGGTCCGAGCGTACTCGTACAGTGCACACCCGGCGAAACCGGTATAAAAAAAGAATTTGTTGAACACTGCTCTCTAAGTGCGACAATACACGTCCGTTTTTTCCAGCCGATGTCTGATCCGACTACCGGAAGGCGCTCGTACCATATAATTGTATGAACACCCAATGGTAGCCGAGTCGGAAATAGCGTCCGATTTTATTACCGATCCGATTGGCTGAAGGCGCGCTCTCTATACTTTTGCGGGGAGACGAAACACGTCCGATTTACAGCGTTGGCAATGCAAATTATTAAAAATCCCCAAAAATCAAGATTACAAATTTGGGGAGCGCAAAGTTCACATTGCCCACATTCATTCTTATATATTTATTCATTCTCAGTATTTATTATATTATTATTGTTATGCTTAAAAATATATCAAATAATTAAGAAAGTCAAAATGAACCCGTCTATTACATACACGATAAGCTATAATTAGAAATAAACTCAACAAGTTGAATTAAGTTTAAACCTTACTAACTAAGCTTGAAAAGTGGCAAGTTGTGGTATTAAGGTCTACCCATACATATTCGGCCGTGCTCCGTCATATGCTCAAAAAAATATCGTTGCGTTTATTTTGTATGAACTCGTTCACACATATCCGTGTCCGGGCCGGCGCCGGGACGGATCCCCAATTCATGTAAACTAGCACGCCCCGTCCACGTCCCGGGCACGGCCCTGATGTGTGTGTATAGTCCTTTAAAATACCTACTGCTCGGCTTTGTTCGGCAACAGGTGTATTCTTTTTTTCACACCGGGGACCGGTCAAAATGAGGAAGGGTCGCGTGCTCAACACGCACCGACTGATCTTAATCATCCTACTTAAGAGCCAGGCTCAGGTCGGTGACTGATAATAGTAGTAATTTTACAAGACAAAATGATTCTAATCCTACCGGATAGTTTTATACATATAAGCAGTTTGCTAATAATTCTATATAAATGTTGCTATATAAGCAGCGCATGTGCGATGTTGAAAAAAATATCAATATCGTCCATAAACAAACAAACAAATAGTGTTTTTATCAGTGATCATCAATGTAACAAAAATATGATAAAATTCTAGAGTGCGAGAGCATTTTCCCCACATAGCGTAATCCAAAGAAAATCCCCAAACGAGTAGTTGAGTTGAAATTCCCTGTATTTAGGGAATTTCCCATAAATTAGCAACAATGCAGGTAGTCCAGAAAAAGTTTGACGTAAGAATCGGATCCCTATCGGACGTGTATTGAGTGAATCCGATCCGATAGTCGGATCCGACCATCAGACACGATATCGGACGTGTATTACCGCACTAATAATGAGCTACTTTTTTATGGTTGTTTTTTTTCTTATGGCAATTAAGGTATGAAAAAAAAAATCAGTCAACATGGCGGCCCAAGATGAAGTTGACGTATGTGAAAGTTGGGAGGATATGGACGAAATTGGCGTAAGTTATTGCAAGAGCTCCCGCGGCCGTCACCTTGTTTGGCAGTCGCTGCGGTCCAGTTGTGTATGTGCAAGATTGTATGTTTCAGTTGGATCAGAAGATTAAGCTGATGTCAAGTGAGCCTGCCCCAGTGAGTCCCGCGCTTAAAGGTTGCAAGGTTAACGTAATTGTTGAGGAGAACGCGTGTATTGGGTCCCAGTGCGTAATGCCGGAACCAACTATTCGGATTTTGAAGCGGCCAACGAACTCGCCTGGCGGGCCGCTGAATGGCGAGAGCCGCGCTCGGCCGGTAAAGACCTTGGAACAAAGACAGAAAGAGTACGAGGAGGCGCGGCTGCGGATACTGGGTGAAGCGCGGAGCCCCGAGGACGTCATTGACGATAAGTAAGCCCCTTTTTCTTGACACACGCAGAACTAATTACATCGTCACGCTTTTATATAACAGTTAAAAGTTTCCACCAATATTGCTGTTTTATTGTGGCTATAATTTGCGCGCATTTACCGTTGACGACGCTCAAGATTGATTGCCTGTTGTAGTCATTATCATTGATTCTATACATTGCATTGATTGTGTTGACTCGGGATCAGTATTCATTTGCACAACTATCATATTGCAAAGGAGAAATATTTCTTATTTTCGTTTATTAGCATATGGTAATTATGTGTCAATTTGTCAATTTTCCAGTCTAAGCAGACTACAAGATAAGCTCCAAGCCAACAATCTGAATGACAATCAAAATAGTAGTAAAAAGAATTGTCAAATTGAGGCTAAAGGCAAAGAGAAAAAAGTGTTGGCGCGGCTTCCTCCCGGCGCGACGGCCGCTGGTGTGTTCCCTTCCCCTCCTCCGCGCGGTGTCCTTGTTATCCGCACTCCACGAGGCCCTGATGGCACCAAAGGTTTCGTGCGGAGGTAGCACCACTACAAAACTCGTAAGCCTAAGTTATTCACAAAGTTCCATCTGACTTCAAAGACTTCAGTCAAAATTTTAAGTGACGTAGTAGCTAAATAAATATAAATTGGCTGAAAATTGTTTCACAATTTTTACTATGCGAACATATTTGTACACCATAGTGGTGTTAAAAATACGTGAGGGTTGCTAATTTGGTATACGATGTATTTTTTGAGTGCAGATCTTAATTCGTGTTTTTTAATACTAAGTGGTCTGCTTAAAACTTTATTGAAGCATTTAATCTCTTGAATCTCTAAGATTTATATATAAAGATCATCAGAAAAATGCTTTTATAAATCAAGCATCAACTATTAATTGTGAAACAAAAACAAAATTAAGAGTGCTCACTTTTGGGAACAATAATATTTATTGTAATTTAATATAAATATTGTATACCTGAAATATGGATCTAGGAATCTAGAGAGAGCAATGAGATTTTACAAAATTGACACTCTGGCAAAATTGATTGTATGCATAGAGACTAAAGTACACAATGAATGTTGGCCTAGTGTAACAGGATATCAGGGAACCTTCCTTAAGGTGTTTTGCATAAAATGAGGTAACTATTGCTGCTTGTTGGTTGCATAACATTCAGAATCATAGTTACATTAATACAATCATTGCACCTAGGACTTCAGTTCACATTACACGGATATGTGTATATCACACATTGTAAAGTCATACTTTAATGAGCAAACAATGGAGCTGTCTATACATATATTTTTTATGTTTATGTATAAAAAGGCCTTGCAGTACACATGGTTGGGTATCTCGTTTTAAAATTTAATGATTATTGGTTTATGCAGACTTTCTGTTCCGTAACGTCATCATTGCGGTTAAGCTTTAAGCTTGTTACAATGGTAATTTTTAATTGTAAATAATAAATAAATATTGCGCATACTTATAGCCGCACTATAGAAACCTTATATTGTGAGTGCCATGGACACACACATAGACCACAAATTACACCCAAACTCACAAGAGAAATAAATGTAGGCCAAACAAATACTTTTCCGGCCTGAGTGGTGGGATGGTTCCACCATAGAGACAATTGTACGTCATATTGATACCAAATTTCATATATAACTATGTGTTAGGTAAAATGTCACATGTGCTGCGGTGGTTACCTCATGAATTGTACACCATTTGTTCAATTGTCCGTTATTATATTGAATCAAAGTGTTGTTAACAATGACCAATTGAATTGAAGTAAAAATAATTACAAAAGAAAATACATACAATTATGTAAGTAATCTTTGAATGCACTAAAGCTATTTTTAGAGCTATACATTCAACACAACTCTATTGTGATTGTAAATAATGTTTTTAACAAATATATAATGTGTTTTGAATAACATCAATATACTACAAGCTGTGAAATGTGTAATCCCGTGTCGATGTTCAGACTGCACACTTAAAATGTCAACTATGAATTTAAAATTCTAAAGTTCAGAATATGTTTTGGAAATGTTATAGTCCAATACAGTATGAACTGGGTTTCAAATTCCACAATTAGGGGGCAGATTATTTTTTAATTTAATCTTAAAGTACTTGTCCCCTTTTATTTACTGTAAAATAGTGTACATCCATATTTCACCAAGAAAATGGAAAATTATAAAGCATTTGTATTTGTTAATTATCAATTTAATAACCCAAATAAACTGTCATATATTTTGACTGACAAGAAATAAATTAAACAGATGAAATTCAATTAAATAACAATTCATAATACATTAATAATAATTACACAGTATCATAAAATGTGTGCATACAATTGATAAATTTTAAAGTTATTCTCTAACACATTTTTTTTTATATCCAGTTTTTCTACGTGTATAGTATATTTTTTAGGATAGGGTACTTGCTACTTGTATATTTTTAGCATATTATTTTCCTATGTTAAGTTTTTTCGATGCTCTTGCTTTTGTGTCTACTACAGTACCATCACAAACGCCAAATGAAATATTCCTATGTGGCAACGCAACTGGCAGAAGTTGTTCGATAAACCTAAATAGTACAAAAGGAATATTGGTGCGAATATCCGTTGTTATCGGCTATTCGCGAAAAAAGTAACCAATCACGTGACTGTTGGTTTTAGAATCCATTGCTATACTGCCCTCAGAACGAAAAAAGGCAGAATTTTTTTCGTTACGAGGGCAGTATAGGTTGTTTGCGAATAAAAGATCTGCCCAATAATATCACAAATTTTAAGAAACCAATCACATGGCTTTTGCGCATTGTGTCCCAATGTTGGTGTTTTCAAATGGAGTTTTAATATGGTATGAGCAATCAATTTGCAGCAATGTAATAAGTTTGAGATTAGAAATGAAACTATTTGTTCAGGTCTAAATGACATATATTCCACTCGTTTGTTAGTCCTGATCATGGGACCTGTAGACAAAGGGCCCGAAACGTTGGTTTGTTTGAAAAAACAAATTTACGCGATTATACTTTACTACACTACGCCTATACTTTAGCCTGTTAAATAAAAGAGAGAGTGAAATGGCCAGTTGTTGACCACAACAAAAATTTAAAATTTACTATTTATGCAAAATAATATTATTACATTTATTTATTTATTTATTTATATTTGAGATTTTATTGTACTGAACATGGGTAACATTCGCGGAAACCTAAGAACTCTTCATGTATGAGATTATTAATTGAAACTTGTGTAGTGAGGGGATAAGTTTAAAGAAACTAACAATTTACTCTGGCATCACAGTACATTAAAAAAAATGTAAATATGTTAAGAAGTATAGTAATTATTTTATAAAAAGTAGTGATAGACGTAATGTTAATAACAGTTCGTGACAGTAGTTTTAAATAAAGTCACAAATTCGGTTATGGAACAATATAATAAAATTTCTGTCAATCGAATCGAAACTATACAGCTTCGCATACTTGGTTAATTTGAGTCCATGACAGTAATCCGTGGCCATTTCACGAGTGTGGCCATTTGAGGTTGCCTCTTCCTATTATATTTTTAAATAAATATTGTAAATCGTAAAAGTTTCTCACTCGTTCTTCTTGGGGAATCTGTGTAACAAATGAAAAAATGTTAAAACAATTTGACTGGAATAAAGATACGTTAAGTGTGAGTTAGAGGATAGAGATCATGATGTCTTCCGACTTCAGCTTTGCCTACTCTTGTCGGAGAAAATCGTGTACTATGTAGGTACGTAATTACCTATTTTTGTTTGTTAGGGGTTTTTCAATAGGAACATTACAATTTTGTATTTCAATAAAACACAGTATAATTGAAATATCAAGCTCAAATTTGTTCCAGATGTAGTACACATCCTACATTTAAGAATGGAATTCGATCTCGTTCGTATAACCGTCACGAGCATGTTTGCAGCGTCCAATTCTTTTGAGCCAATTTTCCACCACTCTTCCTCACATATCAAACGAAATGTTAGCAATATCGCGTTTGATATAGTTCCTGAGCTCATTTGACGTTGTTGGCTTGTTGATATAATAACGCACACACTCAACATAGCCCCGCACTAGAGAAACCCATGGACACACACATAGACAACCACAAATTACACCCAAACTCACGAGACAAATAAATGTAGGTCGCGCAAATATTTCTCCCGGCCCGGGAATCGAACCTGGGACCTCTGCGTGGCAGTCCGGCATGGTAACCGTTCGGCCACGGAGGCAGTTAAACCACCGACTAAATGTAAACCCACAAAAAGTAACCAAACGGCGTTAGATCGCATGAGCGAGGTGGCCATTCGACGAGGTTACACTATTATCGTATTTCCTCTTCAATAGATCGATTGTTTGGCTAACTTCAATCGTGCTCGCGGTGGTCATATGAACGAGATCGAATTCCATTCTTAAATGTAACAAACACGTGCACTGCACCTGGGATAGATTTCAGCTCGATATGTCAATTATTCTGTTTTATTGAAATACAAAACTGTTATGTCCTCATTGAAAATAACTATTTTCACACACGAATTATTTTTCTTAAAAATAATAATATAATTGATAATAATCTGTCAGACAAGCACTCCTGTTACGGTTTCAAACTAGTGGTTTCCCTGTACAATGAGTACCAGTGAGCAACGGAATTCACTCTGGGGCACTACCCTGAACACCCTGGCTAGAACCAATTTAGAAAAGTTTTCTCAAATTGATCCTACCAGTACCCAGGACTTCCTTGTCCAGCGTCCACAGTGCAAACCGTTGGGCCACCGAGGTCGTCTAAATGTCATTTCTTTGTTCTTAATTGTATTGTATTTTTGTTTTGCCGGAAATAGCACCACACGTTTGATTATACATATTTACGTTTTAGTACAAAACCTCATTGGTTTGGACACGATTGTTTAAGTCACTTTAGCACTGAACAATAATTGTCATATTGATTACAAATTACCTACTGCTTTCAAATCTCCAATGCATTAAAGTGGTGTTATTGTTGGGTGTATTTCGCAACTGATTTAGGCTAAGATTTGAAAAACAAACTGTCTTCGACTAAGCAAAATAGCGAGCTAATTAAGTTGTGAACTAAAAACTCCTGACGCACTACAGACCTTCAAAAATAACCAAATGAAGAGTAGTAGCTATGTAGCTGCAAGTCAATTGAGTGCTTCCGGTCTGCATGAAGTGCAAAGGGCAACTGATAGTAATCCGAAAATAGCCGAAACACGACGATTGCCGAGAGATTGAAAACAGTTGCACTGGCCAAATGTTGTCACGTGATTATTTTAACTAATCATTATTAATACAAAGATCGAAAACTAAGAAAACATCAAAAAATCTTTAAAATTCAAAAACAAACATCAGCAATAAGCACGTAGAAGAATTGTAATGTCTGCTGATTCGTTCCGTAGCTCAGTTGGGAGAGCGTCAGAGCGTATGCTGAAGTTGCTGGTTCGAATCCAGCCGGACCGAAGGAACTTTTTAATGTTAGATTTTTGTATTAATATAATAAAATTATAACAGTGGAGTCATTTCACAAAAAGTAATAAGACTTTGTGATATTTATAAATTATATTATATGATATTTATATTTATAAATTCAGCATGATCCGATTTATTTTTTATGATATCAAGAGCCAGGACGAACAGGTCGTGCGCCTGATGTTAAGCGACGCGTCTGACCATAACAGTTACAGTGCCACCTTTAAAACACAAAGATCT